TAAGGGCTGCCCTAATGATTTTATTTAGCCGTAAGTACCTCTTTAAAGACCTGATCTCCAAATATGGTCACATCCTGAGGTACTTCAGGTCAGGACTTCAATATGCGAATAGGTGGTGGCACAGTTCAACCCATAACACTCACCATAACAGTGATACTTAATAAAAATCTGGGTTGGGCGCAGTGGTTCATGCCTGTAATCCCAGCACTTTGAGAGGCCGAGGTGGGTGTGTGTGTGAGCTCAGGAGTATGAGACCAGCATGGACAACATGGCGAAACCTTGACTCTACAAAAAATACAAAAATTAGCCCGGCCTAGTGACACGTACCTGTGGTCCCAGCTCCTCAGATGAACAGCTTAACCAACAAACATCTCTTTCTCACAGTTATGGAAGATAGGAAGTTCGAGATCAAGGCACTGGCAGATTCAGTGTCTGGTGAGAGCTCCCCTCTAGCTGTGTCCTCACATGGTGGAAAGATACGAAGGCTCTCTGAGGACTCGCTTATAAAGGCTCTAATCCCATTCATCAGGGTTCTACTCACATAACCTAATCACTTCGGCCATCTTAATACTATCACATTGGGGGTTGAGATTTCAACATATGAATTTGGTGGGGGAGACATAAACTCCATAACTCTCTGATAATAATAGTATAGTTAAGGATGTGAAGCCATAGGAAATCTTAAATATTGATGGTGAGGAAACTGATTTTGCATTAAAATTGAAGATGTAAATATCCTATTACCAGCTATTCTATTCCTAGAGATGTACTCTAGAGAAGCTTCACACAGGTGATTAAGAAAACAGGTACACAAATGATCATACCAGCACTGGAAGAATCAGAAACAATCAAAATATCTATCAGCAAGAAAACGGAGTACATTAAATGACAGAATACTATAAGTCAGTGAAAATGAATGAACTAGAGCTATATATGTAACATAAATGAATCTTAGAATGCAGGCTGTTTCTACAGTCTCCTAGATAATGATTTCTCATGACTGTGTTTTGTTCAGTAAAGGGACATGGCCATTCCCACACTGCTAGACATTCAGACTGGTTCTTCCATGGCTTTCAGAGGCTAGTGGACCATGAGGCTCCTTTAGGACTTTTCAAAATCCCAAGCCTTCCCACTGGAGACTCTTTAATTGCCTTTACACCTTGCCTTTCCCACCCTCATGGTATAGGTATTGACATATTTCTATTTATGACCTCATTCAAAGTTCCTCATTCAGTTAATTGCATGTCTTTCCATTTTCATCATATCAGTTTCCAGCAGCTGATAAATTCCCTGGATCCTTGTTATGTAAACAACCCCAATCCTTTTTTTGGAATAAAGAGAATGACTACATTTCCTGGGTAGACAAGAATTTTGTCTACAAATGGCACAGCACTACTGTGCATAATGGGTGCTTTCCTGCTTATGGCAATGTCACGCTTTAATATGTTAGGTTTTAGTATAATCAATAAGGTGCATAAATTTCAACTCAAGGCCTTCGAACAAGGGTCTCTTCCTCTTATCTAGCTACCTAGAGAGGAGCTAGGTTCAGGAGAAATGGCTTTGAGAAAGGCACTGTAGGGAAGGGGTTGTAAGCACACAGGACCACGATGCAGATGGATCTGGATTTGAGTTCCAGCTCTGCTTTTACTGTATTTGAGACTTATAACAAGTTTTGTTATGTTTTTGTTTTCCTTGGTGGGCCTGTATCTGCATCTCTACCTTCTTTATAGGGTTGATAAGATAAAATATATGAAGCATTTAACATGACTTCCACCAACTACATAGTTAGTAAACGTTAATGTTATTTAAAAGATCGTTTCTTTAAAATAATAATTTCAAAGCTTTGAATATAAGATGATAGTGGCCTTTATGTGGTAATGAGGCACAAAACAATGAAACAACTGGAGCGATCAAAGTTTCTACTGAGCAGCTGTTTTTTATTTTCTCCCAAAGTGATTTTAGAATATGGAAGGAAGCCAGGCCTCCAACTATGGTTCCAGCCTACAGCTGCGGTTGAATAAATGACCGACTGAAGAGTATCCCCTGGGTAAGTAATTTAATTTCCCTGCATCTCACTTTCTCTTCTATAGAATATTGATTCATGGGAAGCTAACAGATTTGGAAAACCCTCTCGATAGGGATTGTGTTAATAGCCATAGTTGCGTTCCTCTGTAAACATGGAAATGCTGGGAGTGCAATCACTCGAATCCCATGTCCTGCTTTCAGTGGCTTTCACCCACCAATATGATGTCTGAGTGTTAATTGTCACAAAGGCCATTTTCACTGAGGTTTAATTTGAAATGAGCTGCATCTACTGCAGGACATAATGCAGATGTGCTATGCTATAGAGAAGAACTTTTGCCCATAAATCTCCACAGTGGCCTGATGAATCACAGGGAAATGATCCTGTCAGAGACCCCTCGGGATGTTTCTGCCTGAAAATTTGGCTTTAGCAGGAATGGCTACTGCTCCCTGGCCCTAGTGGCTGCATATTGATCGATACTTGCCCCATCAAAAAAGCATGCAGGGCCAGGCGCAGTGGCTCACACTTGTAATCCCAGCACTTTCGGAGGCTGAGGTGGGTGGATCAATCATGAGGTTAGGAGATCAAGACCATCCTGGCTAACACGGTAATAATTTCTTGTATTTTTGTACTAAAAATACAAAAAATTAGCCGGGCATGGTGTTGCACACCTGTAGTCTCAGCTACTTGGGAGGCTGAGGCAGAAGAATTGCTTAAACCTGGGAGGCGGAGGTTGCAGTGAGCTGAGACTGTGCCACTGCACTCCAGCCTGGATGACAGAGCCAAAAATAAAAAATTAAAAAATCAAAAAAGCATGCAGGTATCCCTCAATGTCTGAGGGGGATTGGTTCCAAGGTCCCTCAAGATACCAAAATCCTCGGATGTTCAAGTTCTTTATATAAAATGGCATAGTATTTGCACATAACCTGTGCACATCCTCCCATACACTTTAAGTCATCTCTAGATTACTTTTAACACCTACAACAATGTAAAATGCTATGTGAATATTTTATTGCTTTCTTTTGTATTATTATTTTCTCCAAATATTTCCCATCGTGTTGGTTGAATTGGGGGATGCAGAACCTGTAGGTCAATTAAGAAGTAAAGTATTACGAGTCCAGAGAAACACTTACTCTTCTTACCTCTAAGGATTTAAAAATAATGGAGCTTATTCCAAAGCAAGTATAGTGGAAAATACTTAACAGTAGACTGAAATGCTGTAAGAATTAACATTCTGGGTGTAACAGGTGATACAAATCACAGTGTCTGACACACAGTAAATTCAGTGAATTATAATGAACTGGAGGAAGGATGGAAGAAAAGAAGACAGAAAGAAAGAAGAAATGAATTAGAAGAAATTAGCCAAAAAGCTAGGACTTGGCTGGGTGTGGTGGCTCACACCTGTAATGCCAGCACTTTGGGAGGCTGAGGCAGGTGGATCACGAAGTCAGGAGTTCAAGACCAGCCTGGCCAAGATGGTGAAACCCCATCTCTATTTAAAAAAATTAGTTGGGCATGGTGGTGGGTGCCTGTAATCCCAGTTACTTGGGAGGCTGAGGCAGAGAACTGCTTGAACCCAGGAGGCAAATGTTGCAGTGAGCCAAGATCACACCACTGCACTCCAGCCTGGGCAACAAAGGGAAACTCTGTCTCAAAAACAACAACAAAAACAAAAGTAGGAGTTAGGCTATGTAGGCTATGATCATAGGTTGAATGACCCTAGACAAGTCCCTCAGTTTCTCATCTGGGAAACAGAAACAATGTTTTCCTTATTGGTTTTCTGTGAGAAAGAAATCAAATTACATAGAGAGATATGTGGTTGAAAGCACCTGACAGTCATGAGACCTGCAGATCAGTATCAATTTAATACAATTCATCAAATATTTACTTAGCCCTTACTATCTGCCTGGCATTGTATCTTGGGTGCTAGAATTACACAGGAGATGAATAAGACAGGCAGGCTAATACCCTGGATAAGGCAACTGAGATGGAGGCAGTCTCAGTTCTGGATCTTAGGACTTATTTTTCATATTTTCATAATAGAGTCCTGAAATCCCTCTCTGGTTGAGCTGCCCCAGTCCTTGCCCACTGAAAACCCACAAGTCTATTAGGGGTGATAAAACTGTAAACCAAAAATTCCAAAGCAGCATGTGAACTGCAAAAATGGTGGCCCCAAGAAAATGTAGGAAGGAAATGAGCAGGGGCTGAGGAACTGGAGCAGGGGAGTTGGGTGAAGGCACCTGAAAGGGATGATGTGTGGGCTGAATTACAGAAAATAAGCAGGAGTTCTTATATAAAGAAAAAGCAGAGAAAAGGCATTTCAGATCACAGGAAGCATGACATGCAAAGCCACAGAAACAGGAAATTGCTAGCTCCAGCTTCTGCCATTAACTGGCTCTTTTTAACCTTTCTGGAATTTCCTCAGGTCCCTCTGGGATTTCAGTCTTCTCATCTCAGAAAATGAAGGTCAGGGGAGGAAAGAAGGAATCTAGATTTCTGGAAGATGCTCTTTAACTGGATACCTCCGTGCTAGAGCAAAAAGAAAAGGGGTAGCTTTAAAAACGTCAAGTGTTATTTTAGGGCACGAGCCAGAAGCCCCATGTTTTGTGACTATCAAGATGACAGGCAGAGCCAGCAGCCATTCAGAAGTTTTCTCCACTTGATCTTAGCCAAAAGGCCGAGAAGCGATCCGAAGTTTTCTCAAAGATTCATTTACCCACTTCACCAATACTTAGGGCATGGACTGAGCCAGGGCCTATGCTATCAAAAAGACCACAGTCCAGCAGAGGGAGGGAGACGGTAAATAAGTATATGAATACTTGGAAACCATATTGGTCTGCACATTGCGAGTGCGTGGGGACAGGAAAACAGAAGCTCCCAGGACGTGCAGATCACATGCATGGTGAGTGACGGTTTATCTACTAGCCAAATTAACTTCCTGTTTCCTCATCCTGCTTCACCTTCTCCAAGAAGCCGTAAACATTTTCAGCAGTCAATTTTTCCTTGGCAGGACGACAGGGCACCCTCTCTCTTCACCGGCAGCCTTTCCCAAGCCTTGTCTGGGGCTCCACGCACTCACTGTAAATGCAGGTCAGAGCTGACCAAGAGGTGCCTGCTCCCGCGACAGCTTCGCGCAGACCTGAGCGCCCAGTACAGAGTCCCCAGCGTCGTGGGAGAGGGTGGCGGGAAGGCGGGCTGTGCAGCGCCTCCGGGGTTGGGCCGCGGCGGCAGGGCGGGACTCAGCCTATGGCATAAGAGGGGAGCGCCACTCTCCCGGCCGCAGTACTGAAGCTGGTGCCCCAGCAGCGGGCTAGGAGCCATTGACACTGAGCTTGCAACCAGACCCGGGGACACTGAAGAGGGAAAGGTCTGATTTCTACTTATTCGTTTATTTAGTACCAAAGAACGGAAGCAGGGCTGATTTGTGGGTGCCGGGGAGCAAGACTGGAACAAGTCCAGGGTCTTAAACACGTCGGGAGCTTAACAGCGTCCAGGGAAGGGATCCAGCCGCGTCGAGGGGCTCCAGCAGCTCCAGGTGCCCAAACTCAGCAGCTTCTCTCCCCCGCAGGCGCACTTCTTCCCGCCACTCCCAGTCCCAGCCTCCAAGGATGCGGCTTCTCGAGAAACTCTGCTCCTCGGCCGCAGGCAGCTCGGCACCGGAGCCCGCCTTCGCCATAGTGCTCACGCCGAATCGCATCCCCGAATTCTGCATTCCGCCGCGACTGCCGGCGCCTTGCGCGCTCGACTCTCCGCCCCGGGCCGCCATCCTGCCCAGGCGCTGCGCCGCCGAACCCGACCTGTGGCCTCGCGCTACAGGCGAGGGCGCCGGCCACACGGACTGGGACCCGCGCTCGCAGGCCGCGCTGTCGCTCTCACATCTGCCGCGTGTGCGCACCGCCTACGGCTTCTGCGCGCTGCTGGAGAGCCCGCACACGCGCCGCAAGGAGTCGCTCCTGCTCGGGGACCCGCCCGCGCCCCGGCCCCGGGCTCACACCTACGGCGGCGGCGGCGGCCCGGACGCCCCCCTGGGGACAATGCGCGGCCCGCGAGCTCCGCTCCCGGCCACCCCGGCGGCCCCCGGTGGTCCCTGCCCGCCCCAGGACGCTCTCGCCCCGCGGCCCCGCGGCTGCCGCCTCCTGCGCGCCCCCAACAGGCTGCTGAGCCGCGCGCTGCGGGCGGGAAGGAGTCGCCGCCGGGCCCGCGCCCACTCCGTCTCCAGCGGGAACGAGGACGAGGAGCGCCGCGCAGGCTCCCAGTCCCCGGCCCAGGCCCCTTCCGCCAGCCCCCCGTCGGCCCGGGACCCGCTTCCCGAGCGCCTGGAGGCCGAGGGCACCGTGGCTCTGGGCCGCGCCGGCGACGCCCTGCGCCTGGCCGCCGAGTACTGTCCGGGAACCGGGCGCCTCCGCCTCCGGCTGCTCCGCGCCGAGGGCTTGGCCGGAGGCGCCCCCGTGCCCCGCGCGGTCCGCTGCCGCCTCAGCCTCGTGCTACGGCCGCCGGGCACCGCGCACCGGCAATGCAGCGCCGTCGTGGGGCGCAGCCGCAAGGCCGCCTTGGACCAGGACTTCTGCTTCGACGGCCTCTCGGAGGACGAGGTGCGCCGCCTGACGGTTCGTGTCAAGGCTCGGGAGGAGGGCCGCGGCCGGGAGCGGGGCCGCCTGCTGGGCCAGGGCGAGCTGCCTCTGGGCGCCCTCCTGCTGCCCTGAGGGCCCGGCCTTCCCCCGGGCGCCCCCGACACTGACAGCCGTCTTGTACAAAATAAACGTTATTTATTTTTCTATTTATGAAATTGCTTTATTGACGTTTTAGTTTCTCACTGTACACATTTGTCATCCTTTATTGGTAGAGAAGAAAAAGACTCCTGCTCTATTCACAGGACTCCCATTCCTCTTTTCAGACCATTTTTGCATTCCAAGGAAAAAGGGGTTGGCGTGGGACTGGGAGAGAAAAGAAGTACACCCATCTGCATTGTTTTTCATTCCTCTGGCTTTCTATTAATGTTAAACAGGTTTTTTTTCCAAATAAAACAAGTTATTCATTCAGAGTCATGCCTAACGCTACGATTCATATACACAGCTTTACATATCGATGCGGCATAGGTAATATCCTCATTTGTGTGTGCACAATGAGGTCTGATGTGCACATAGGATATTACCTTTGTGTCTTTCACATCAGAGTGAAAGACTCTTCTAGTATAAGGATGGATACCTTTGTGGGAAGAAAATTCCTTTCATTGTAGAAAGAACTTTCTTATCGAAGTGATTTTTTAAAAAATTGCTGAAGAAAAGAAAACAAGGGAAATGGAGGACTTTCCAACAGATGGTTATGTAGGGAATGGCTTTTTCTAGCGTCTCTCTCTTCCTTACCTAGGAAACCTTATTTCAGAAAAGAAATCTTTCCTGCCTCTGTAAACAAGGTGGTATTTTTCATGGCATTAGTCTCACCTAACTGTGTATTTAATTACACAGTAACTAGCCTTGCGGTAGGATTTCCTAGATGAATTAGAAAGTAAATCGTCAGTTTCTTGAACACTGGGTTCTAGAGGGTGTTTTTTTTAAATCCAATTGATTTTCATTTGTTAATTCAACAAATATGCCTGAGTCCACTGGAAGCTGATTATACCCAGGAGAATTTGCCCTGGGCTGCAGGAATCCACCATATAGAGCAAAGCACAGTGGTGTGGGAGACAGATATAGAGTTCATTTTTTTTTTCTGCCACTTGTCTGGAGTAGAGCAAATCAGTTCATCTCCCTGAGCCTCATTTTCTCCATCAGTGAAAAGGGAGTGATGGCTACCTCATAGGGTTTTGTGAAGATATGCCTTAATATCAAAATTACCCTTGGATACATGTGAACCATAATAGAAAATTTGAAAAGGCTTTCACTGTACTGTTTGATAGGTGCTCAGTAATGTTCCAGAGAATGATCTCCTTCACATCTCCTTTCTTTCCAGCTGTTTTCCCCTGCTCCTCAAGTGAGCCTGGCAAATGCATGGCTACCGGAGACTGAGGACTTAGAAGGGCCAGGAGTGGGAATGCAGAACCTTCAATATCCCCATGGTAAATTTCCCCATACGCAATAGCGTGCACTCATTCTCTATCAGAAATTCCTTCTGCATTGTTGTTATAAAAATGAGGTCTGGTTACAAATGTGCTCAGACTAAATAAAAATCCTGGATTTTAAATATTCTTTCAAAGTGAACAAATTAGCCTTTAAAAATAATCCCATCAAACTACTTCTGAAATTGAGAAAACACCATAGAGATGACTTGCCCAAGGCTATAGGCTATAGGCTATAGGCTATAGGCTTATGTGCATAGCTGAATTCAAACAAGCACCAAGTGTTCTGACTTCTCCAGAGGACTGACCCACCCTTGTTCACTCAACCATTATTCTCTAAGCCCTCATTCTGTGACAGACACAAGTAAAAGGCCCTGAGGATGCAGCTAGGAACAAGACACACAAGTAAACAGCCAAACAAATAACCATATTTTATTATTATAGATTATGGTAGCTATAGAGATTATGGACAATTGTAAACTACTGAGGGTGATAGAGGCTGTCTAGACTAGGAAGTGACCTTCTTAGAAGCCTGGTCCTCAGGAAGCATCCCTGAGACTTGCAAAGGGAATCATTCACAAAGGAAACAATATATCTAAATAACCTCTTAATGTATCCATATAACCCCTTTATATTGAGAACAGAATTCTTGGTTTTGCTCTCCTAAATCTCTATCTTCCTTATCTAATAAAAGACACCATCATGCTTCCTGTCTCTCCAATTAAGTACCAGGAGTCATCCTTCACTCCTGTTTCTCACAGTCCACTTTCCCCAGATGTGTCACCTCCTCAGAGAGTCCTTTGCTAGACATCATGTTTAAAAATAGCACCATCATCATTATCTACTTACACAGCTTCTTTTTTTTATAGCAATACCATTACCTGACATCATGTTATGAATTCACTTGGTTGTTGTTTGCTCATCTTCTCTTCCATGAGAATGCAGGCTTTATAAAGGAGGAGTCTTTGTTCACCTATTCATTGTTCTGTTTCCAGTGCCTACCACAGTATCTGTCATATAGTAGACACTCAATAAATATTATCCAAATTGAGTGTTTGATGAAGACAGGAAGAGATGGGATAAAGTGAGCTGAGTAGAGGGCCTTGGACCAAGCCTTGGAACAGTTCAATATTTAGCAGTCCAACAGAGGAGGTGAGGCCAGTGTGCTGGGGAAAGAGAAGCAGTAGCCAGTGAGGTAGGGGAAGGCCAGCTGACTATGAAGTAATGGAAGCCAAGATAGGAAAGTATTCCAAGAAGAAGAAGCTGTTCAACCCATGTATTCATGCATTTATTTAGTGGAAATGGAATTACCTTCATTCCGTAGACTTTAGAGAACATGATGACGATGACATATGCATAGAGACTTGTCATTCCTTTTCAGAGAGCTCAATTTAACACAAATGAAACTTCATTTAAAAATTGACTTCTTAAAATAGGTAAAGAGTCTGGAATAAGCATTTGATGAAATACAATATTTGCTTGTGACTGATGTGTGTGTGTACATACAGATATATATTTATATAAAATGTTAAGATCACTGAAATCTGAGAGTGGCATCAGCAAAATGGCTGACTAGAATTGGCATACAGTATTTCTCCTGTGCTGGGCTTATTTCATTTAACATCATTTTCACTAGGTTCATCCATAATGTTGCAAATGATAGGATTTCATTTTTTATGGCTGAATAGTAATCCATTGGGTGTATATACTAAATTATTTTATTCATTCATTTCTTGATGGACACTTAAGTTGATTCCATATCTTAGCTAGTATGAATAGTGCACCAACTAAGATGGGAGTGCAGATATCTTTTCAACATACTGATTTCCTTTCCTTTGACTATATACCCACCAGTGAAATTGCTGGATCATATGGTAGTTCTATTTTCAATTTTTTGAAGAATGTTTGTCATCTCCATAATGGGTGTATTAATTTACATCTCCACCAACAGTGTATAAGAGTTCTGCCTTCTCTACATTGTTGAGGGTATTTGTTTTTTGTTTTTGTCTTTTTGATAATAGCCACGTTAGCTGAGGTGAGGTGATACTTCATTGTGATTTTGATTTTCACTTTCCTGATGATTAGTGATATTGAGCATTTTTTCATCTATCTGTTGGCTGTTTGTATGTCTTCTTTCGCCCATTTTAAAATCAGATTTGTTGGATTGTTAAATTTGATTGCTATTGAGTTGTCTGAATTGACTATATATTCTGGATATTAGCCCTTTGCCTGATGCATAGCTTTCAAAATTTTCTCCCATTCTATAGGTTGTCTCTTCATTCTGTTGATTGTTTTCTTTCCCGTGGAGAAGCTTTCTAGTGTGATGTAATTCAATTTGACTATTTTTTGTTGTTATTGCCTATGCTTTTGAGGTCCTATCTAAATAATTCTTGCCCAGACCAATGTCATGAAGGTTTTCTGTTATATTTTCTTCTAGTAATCTCATAGTTTGGGATCTTACACTTAAGGTTTTAATCCATTTTGAGTTTAATTTTTGTATGTGGTAAAAGATAGGGGTCTAGTTTCATTCTTCTGCATGTTCATGTCCAGTTTTCCCAGCACCATTTATTAAAGGGACTATTCTTTCCCAATGTTTCTTCTTGGCACCTTCATTAAAAATCAGTCATAAATATTTCTATCTATTTCTGGATTGTCTATTCTGTTCCATTGGTCTATGTGTCTGTTTTTATGCCAATACAATGCTGTTTTGGTTATTACAACTTTGTAGTATATTTTGAAGTCATGTAGTGTGATGCCTTCAGCTTTATACTTTTGCCTCAAAATTGCTCTGGCTATTCAGGGTCTTTTGTGGTTCTACACACATATAAGGATTTTTTTCTATTTCTGTGAAGAATGCCATTGGTATTTTGATATGGATTGCATTCAATCTGTAGACTGCTTTGGGCAGTGAGGGCATTTTACAATATTAATTCTTACAATCCATGAACACAAGATATGTTTTCATTTCTTTGTGTCCTTTTCAATTTTTTTCATCAATGTTTTATAGTTTTCATTGCAGAGATCTTTTACCTCCTTGGCTAAATCTATTCTGAGGTTTTCAAGCACCATATGTTCTCACTCATAAGTGGGAGCTAAGCTATAAGGATGCAAAAGCATAAGAATGATACAGTGGACTTTGGGGTACTCAAAGCAGGATGAGGGATAAAAGACTACACGTTGGGTACAGTGTATACTGCTTGGGTGATGGGTGCACTAAAATCTCAGAAATCACCACTAAATAACTTATTAATGTAACAAAACACCACCTGTTCTCCAAAAACCTATTGAAATTAAAAAATATATTACAAGGTTTTTTATTTTTTGTAGCTATCATAAATTGGATTTTTTACTTGTTGTTTATTCATTTGTATATGTTGAACTATACTTGCATTTCTGGGATGAATTCCACTTTTTCATGGTGAAGGATCTTTTCACTGTGTTACTGAATTCAGTTTACTAGTAATTTGTTGAGGATTTTTCTATCTGTGTTCTTCAGGGATATTGGCCTATAGTTTTCTTCTTGTATCTTTTTCTAATTTTGGCATCAGGGTAATTCTGGCCTCAAAGAATGAGTTTGGAAGAATTCCCTTCCTTTCTATTTTTTGAGAATAGCTTGAGAAGAATTGGTTAGCTCTTCTTTAAATGTTTGGTAAAATTCAGCAGTGAAGCCATTAGGTCCTAGGCTTTTTTTTTTAATGGGAAACATTTTATTACTGATTCAATCTTATTACTCATTATTGTCTGCTTAGGTTTTCTATTTCTTCATGATTCAATCTTAGCAGGTTGTATGTGTCCAGGAATTTATTCATATCTTTTAGATTTTCCAATTCATTGGCATGTAGTCATTTATAATAGTCTCTTATGATCCTTTGTGTTTCTGTGGTGTGAGTTGTAATGTCTTCTTTTTTATCTCTGAGTTTATTTATTTGAGTTATCTATCTTTTTTTCTTAGCGTCTTAGTCCATTTTTTTGTTGCTGTAACAGGA